TCACCAGCTGGGACCTTAGTCTACAGTCTGAGTGGGAGTTCTTGGCTTCGACAAAGAAGACAGAGAAAAATTATTTTAAGGATGATTCTGGTATGGGTGAGATATTTTTTTGTATCACCATCACAGTGAGTTGTTTTTGTAACGCTTTAGATTCAGCTTTGCTTTATTCAAAGATAATATTACTTAGTTTTCATTTTTTGAGTGTTCCGTTTAGTTTAATCCTGAAAATATTGGAGTTAAATATTGTTTTTTGGTTGATACTTTCACTTATGACTTATAAATGGAAATTTGAAACAACACAAGTTAAGATTTTCTCCCATCATTAATTTTGCTCATTTTGAGGGGGATTAAAAGGACAAGTAAACTCATTCAGGATAATGTGTGTCAGGTCCTCCTCCAAGGCAGAACATTGTTGGTGCATTCTCTCTAAATATGCATGCACTTAAGCAAGCTGAATCGTGCCTACCACCCACCAGCTATTTTCCACCTGGTGCCCACCTACACCTACAATAGTGAAGCAGAGCTAAGGATAAACAAAAATACAGACACAACAGAATACACATGGTGGTCACACTCTTCAGATTAACCTCTATTCACACTGATGAGACCCATTGTCTTTACCTAGAGCTCTCTGCATCCAGAGTACAACACGAACACTGCTCAGAAACAATGGTAATTGTGACCTATATTCTCAAACAGTAACTCTGTTTTGGTTTGGTCTCTTTGAGGTCAGAACTCCAGGTCAGTCTGCATCAACCTGAAACAAAAACAGAGGTAATTAATGTGCCAAAGCTCCTGCAAGACATGTCAAGGTGTGTGGTTAAAGGAACATGTTTGTCAAAGTTGTTCAAAAGTTGAACAAAAGTATTTCAATACTTGGATTGTAATTTCTTCATAACACGTCTTAAATAATAATAAAAGGATGGTCACCTGTATTTCAGGAACAGGTTAGCCTTTACTTTAACTTTCAAATCCTTCTGCATTGCATGAAGTGCTTTTTCAAGGTTTATCCACAGATCTTACTCTAAATTAATCTCACAAAAGGAAGGGGATATGACAAACACCTTGCTTTAACTTGCAGAGATAAATCATTAGGAATTTTGACGTGTTTGAGATCATTATCCCCAGATGAAAGCCACACAAGAGTCTTTTACACAAGTGCAATGCTTGCTTCCATAGTTTTGCAGCACACATTTCGCTTCTTAAAAATATAATATAAAAACCTGGCTACATATGTGAAAACATGAGAGCAGGGTAGAACTGCAGCTTTGCAGAGTGGAGAGATTCTTTCTTCATATCTTGTGCAATCAAATGGGATTCTTAAGTTCAATCAGTCCTACAAGCTCAAGCTTGACCTTCATCATTTAAGTTAACTCTCACTTTGTAATTTTATTATTCATTCAACCATAAACTCAACAGATTACCTGAGTGCGAAGCACCTACTTTGATGTTCCCATTGATGAAATTTAATGGAACGGGGTTGGAGAGTTAAACTACATCTAAAGGTTAAAGACATTAATCACACTGCTTTAAACAAGTCAAAACATCAAGAGGCTACAGTGAAATTTTCAACATTTTGTCACATTGAGGGGACAAACCTTTGTGTACAACGTAATAGTGCATATCTGTAAAGTGGTGCAAAAGTAAGTAATTCTCTTAACCCTCTGATGCATGACATATTTACATATTAACATAAAAGACCTACTTCCATGAGTAGGTCTTTTTGTTTAAATCAATGTGTTTCTACGCTACTTTTGTCATTTTGATTAAAAAATAATGTAGGGTATGATACTTTCTAGTGTGTTTTATTTCACACAAGTATTATTTCATGTTTGAAATATTTAAAATGTTCACCATTTTTTTAGCATTTTTAGAATAAATTACAGAACATTTATGATGATTTATAGAATATTTTTAAAACGAAATGACAACAGCAATTTCACAACAGAAATGTTGGAACAATGAGCACATCCATCCATCCATCCATCCATCCATCCATCCATCCATCCATCCATCCATCCATCCATCCATCCATCCATCCATCCATCCATCCATCCATCCATCCATCCATCCATCCATCCATCCATCCATCCATCCATCCATCCATCCATCCATCCATCCATCCATCAGGTTGCAGAGTAGCAGCCTAAGAAGGGAGGCCCACAGTTTGCTCTCCCCAGCCACTTGTTCCAGCTCCTCTGGGAAAATCCCAAGGCTTTCCTAGGATAGCTGAGAAACATAGTCCTTCCAATGTCTTCCTCTGGACCTCCTCTCGATGGGTAGTGCCCGGAACACCTCACCCTCACCAGAGAGGCAACCAGGAGGCAGCCTAATCAAATGCCTCAGCCACCTCAACTGGCTCCTCTTGACATGAAGGAGAAGCAGCTCTACTCTGATTCCCTCCCAGACTGAGCTTCTCTCTCTAAGGGAAACACCCCAAAAACCTAACATTAATTTGTATTCGTGACCTCGTTCTTTCGGACATAACCCAAAGCTCGTGATCATAGATGAGGGTAAGAACTTTGACCGGTAAAACAAGAGCTTCGCTTTTTGGCTCAGCTCTCTCTCCACCTAGACAGACTGGTTCCTGCAGATGCTGTGCCAATCCATCATTGAGCTCCCACTTCACTTGGGGCAGGACATCCTCCCCGACCCGGAGAAGGCACTCTATTCTTTTCTTGTTCATTTACATTTATTAATTTATTTATGTAGCTATGAATTTTAATTTTATTTATTGAGAAAATAAAGAAAGAAAGAAAGAAAGAACATTGAACACATTGATCAACAAGTTGTGCATGTCATCCAACACATTTCCTCTTTTGGTTTTCTCATCCAGGGTGTCAGACGCACAGAGACACACACACACACACAAGTAATACACATGGACAATAAAATATAGGCAGTATTTTTAGCTAGCTTGGTTAGATAACTAGTGTTAGCTAACTTCAAAAAAGACTTAGGACTCGGTATGTATGGTTCACAAAAAAATGTGTTCCTGACAGTCACAGCTGGTAAGAAACAAAGATTCCCATTAAATTCCATAGGAAATGAATGCAGGTCATTTTGGACCCTCTTATGGAAGAATGGGGTAGTAATATAAAACATACTATTTCTTAAAATGTGTAAAAGTTAAATTAAAAATTTGAATTGCATAATATCAATAACATGTTTTTTGAGGAATACCTGGAATATGAAGTGATGAAAACTTTTCATTACAAAGATATTGCAAAAAAAGACCTCACCAGGTCCAAAAGGACCCACTTATACATCAGAGGGATAAAAAAATATATAAAATAAAAATCTCACACTTGAGGTGTGCTTTGGTCCCAACCCTTTCATTCTCATACTCCTAAATTATCTGGATTGTTATGAATTGTCTTCAGAAATTACATAATTAGTAAAAGAAAGTCTGCCTTTATGTAATATAATTTCATAGAAAATACAGTTGTTCTGTGATGTTCTCAGAAATTTGTTTCTGGAAATTATGGAGAAAATTGTTATTTCCCAGTAGCAATTTAGGAGATATATTAACATGCAAAACATCTGTTGTGATGACATGTGCTATGTGTGGCAAAGCACTTTCCGCATCATCTAGATCAGAAGACACCATCTTCATAAACGTGGTGGCAACATCATGACATCATGTTCATTAGAAACTGATGGAGACGAACACAGAATGTTGCTTTTCATCTAAACTGACAGAATTGAGTCGTTTTTCAAAGAACAAGAGAAAATGCTGCACTTTCCTTCAGTCTGCACACATGAGATAGTAAATGAATCACATTGATGTTTGTGACTATAACAAAAACAATCTGTAAATGCTCAGTGTGTTTAAACTATTATGAGGAGATACAAATAAGGTCTGGAACTTTTTTTTTTAAAGAACTGAAACCTCAGATCTTCCATTCTGAACAAGCTTTAGGTGGTTATGCTCTTCCTTTACTGATATGTGAAGATTATTACTTCACAAACAAAAGTTATAAATGACACTTTGATTTGGTTTATATGTTCTGGGAACTGAATTAATCTCAAACTCTACTACTTTGGGTAGCGGAAATTTCAACCAATGTCATTTGCTAACTTGTATTTCCAAATAAACATTAAGAAACTATAGAATTTTTGTGTTTGCTTTACTTTGCTATTGTTTCTTCACAATCTTGTAATCATGGAGACAGAAAGAGATGGAGGTAAAGAGGCAGAGGGGAAGAGGAGATCAGGTTTCTCGGCAGCTCTGTACCCTAATCCTGGATTTGGAAATGGGATGAGAAGAACAGAGGTAAGTACAAACAACAAGCAATTACAGCACTGACATAGAATTGAAAGGTGGGGGGAGAGCAGCTTGACAGGAAACGGGGAATCTCATAGGTTGTGAGCGGGGTTGGTTAGATGTAGGTGGGATATAAATACCTGTAGTAGACTAGGGCAGAAAAATGCTGAGGGCATGACAGATTCTGACTTCCATTGATCGACGAAGGTTGTAACAGACAATGCAGGGCTGCATTGTTTAGCTCTCAGTAGAGGAGACTCACATTTCATCAGGTGTGATAGTGATTTTAAATCGAACATGAATCATTTTGGTATTCACCTCGTTTGAAGGTAGGGTTCTGCTTAAACTTTAAAGAGTTTCGGCGGAGTTGCTGAAAGGGAAAAGAAAGTAACCTCTCAGTTTTCTACCCTCATATTCCCAAGTGCCTCGAGGGAGATGCATGCTTGACTGAGCCAGAGAAAAAGGACAAGGAAAGAAGACGATACTTGAGGTGTAAGACAACTAAAGCAGCCAGAAAAAGACAGCAGAACAAGAGAGGCCAAAGAAGACAAGACGGTATCCCAAGAAAGAAGGCAAGATGACAGATTTTAGGAATGCAATTTAGAGAAGAAAACATCAATGGAAGACAGGACCAAATAAAGTGAGTCATTGTGCTTTAAAGGAAAGAAAGATTTTTAAGAGACAAACATCAGTGAACACTAAGACTGCTAAAAAAAAAAAAAGCCAAAGAAACATGGCGTGTCAGGGATTTGGTGCTGATTCCTTCAGCCCGCTGGCAGGCGATTCACCCTTACCAATCCTTATGCACCATGGCTCCACCGGTGACTGTTTACCGGCTACATCCCACGCTCACAGTATGGTTTCTGCAGGTAAATCAAGTCTATAATGTTCTTACTACTTGTTATGCACTTTCTTTGAGATGATGCTTCTATTGTTAGGGTTATCTCTAAATTCTTTTTGCTCAATTGATGTCTTTGTCTTTTAAGTTCCTAGAGTTTTTTAGACAAAAATGAGCTTACAAAAACGCTTCGCAGCAAAGCTCTTGAAAGCGTAATTAACATGAACCTTAATCCACATTGTGTTGTTGAGATGCTAAATCCCAGCTGTAGCAGTGAAGGCCAAGAACAATCACTCTAATCCTTCTCTTCCAGGAAAGATATGAACATTTGATTTCCTGAGCATTGACATCCCTTCAGGCATATCTAACTCATCATAACAGTTATTACAGGTACATGATAGGATAAAGATAATTCCTATAGACCTGAGGTTACGTGGCACTTTGTCCGTTAAAGCCTATTAAGAAATAATAACATTTTGGTTTTTTTTATCGTAGTAGAAGTTTATTGAATTTATTTGTAAATATTACTTGATATAATTCTTAAATTATCTATTGGCATATTTAAGACACATATAAATATTAAAGTCTAATCAAGACTTATTTCTTTCAGTAAATTAAATGAAACTTTTGGATCTTTGAAAAATGAGAAAAGCTAGGAATGATGCTATTTTTTTTTTTCCTTTTTTCAAAATCTGAATTTAATCATGAAATATTTATATAATATGTTACTTTGGCACAGCAGTCTGGGGATAATTGTTTAAATCCCCCCACACTCTCTCATGTCGGACATTGTGGAAAAACATTTAAAGACTCACAAGAGATGGGATGAGATCATACAGAACATGTTTGTGTAACAGATGCAGAAACGGAACATGCAAAATCATATGCAGTCAGAAAGTCATAAAATGGTACTATATTAAATCTTTGTTTTCACTGAAACACATTGCCATTAGTACTTTGTGTTGATCTTAACAATGGCAGTGAGCATTCATTAGAGCCTGGAGTGAGCTAAAAAAACAAACTGCCTGAAGATGAACCATGAATAATTATGTGGTTAACAAGATAATTTACAGTGACATGCAAATCGAAGCTTTTCATAAAAGCCATCATCAAAGCATGTGTCTTGTTTTGTCACCAAATCTGTATTCTCAGTGACGTGGCAACATTTAATGAATGAGCTGAATGTTTCTGTAGTTAAACCATTGTTTTCTGCGTGGGAAATAAAAAAGGGTTTTGTTTTTTCTTGGTTTTCTGCATCAGTATCATCAGGATTGTCCCTGGGTCAGACTACTAAAAGGTCCCATATGCACCTGTCCACTTCCTCTCTTGGGAACGCCCTCAGTAACGCTCCTCCGAGTTTGCATTACCCAGTCACCCCTTGCCATTACAGCAACCAGCAAGCAACCTACGGCATGATGACAGGTGAGCAAATGAGGTCAAAGAGTTTCAAATTAGGGCTCTTGGTTAGTAAATCAGCAAAAACAGGAAAACATGTATGCTGTCATTTTACACCAGTTTTAATCAAATGCAAAATGGCCAATATGCAGTTAGAGTAGTCATACTGTAAAGAATGCTATGTACTGATCCAGTAGACAGTTAATTTAAATAAGTGTTTTTGTCAGAAGTAATAAATTGTATGACATTAGAAAGTAATTTATAGCATAATGACACCCTCCTCACTTCATGGCAAAGATGTTTGAGAAGTCTCAGTCTTGACTCACAAGAAAATGTTTAATTTAACTGCATTTGTTCAGTGCAGAAAAAAAAAAAACATTAGTGGCTCAATTAGTGGCAGCCCTAATCATTTATTTAACAAAGACAGTTATAAACATGCACCTTACTCTGTTTGAGTTAATCAGAGTGTCTATGGGTATATATAATGTGTAAAAAATTAGATATGATCATAATACAGCACAACTTCTGCTTAAACATTTTTAAACTTGGAAAAAAAAATAAAGTCATTAAAAATGGAAGGATGGACAAATCATCGAGGGCAACAGGCTAATTCACCCCTTTGGCAGTTTCTACCCCCAATTTCATACCCAAATCTTGGGATTGCATTTTCTTCTCTTGTACATCTACGAGGAAAACAATAACTTGCTAAACATTTGTTGTATACTACAATGTTGAAATAGATTTTGATTAACACAGATTACAGTGAATTTATCCTCTTTTCCTTGTAGCCCAGGAGATGCTTTCTGCTAGTATATCTCAGACTCGTATCCTGCAGACCTGTGGCGTCCCTCACCCCAACATGGTGAGTGCTGCAAATCCATTACAAGGTAAAGAACAGATCCACACTCTGCACACACTCACACATTCACGCATTCCCTCGCTTGCAAGCTAATTCCATTAAATTAGGCAGGAAATGTGTTTACTTTGCGATTAGTTTCAAGTTTGCTGTCAGATAAAATTAATTCAGGACTTTATTACCTTTTTTTGAACAATCTGGTGCTGCAGCTCACCAGAACTGACAAATGTCTTTTTAATTCCTTTTAATCCTCTCGGGAGCTGAGGTATTTAGCTGTCAGCAGGAGAAAAAAGTTTCAATGCAAGTTTGAACTCTTTCTATTCCTAGAAACAATGTTTCATTCAAATGTCTAAAGAATTTGATCAGTTGTTTTAATCTATATTTATGTATGTTTACATTATAACATTTCATAATTTGTTAAATGATAATTCCATACCCAAAGAAGACTGTTCGCTGAAAATAATTTACATTTGTTGACAATCTTTTCTATTGCTTCTAACATTACTTCCTAAACTAATGGTTTTAATTATTTGAGGTCTATCTTAGCAACATCTACTGTCTATCTGGAACAATTTGACAGTATTGATCCATTTATCCTGTCAAAGACTAAAAGGCTAAAAGGACATTAAGATGAAATTAAAGAGGCACACCTTTCATACCACTGGCAGGAAGGAAGACTAATTTGTCACTTCAATGATCTTAGACTTTTTTCTGGCATGTGAATAAATGGCAAAATAAGGCCACTAAAGATAGGCCTGTGTGCAGATTTTCTTGTCCTTAAGGAAAAGCTTTAAAGAAAGGAAGAAAATGAAGGTATTTGGATTAATACATGTCAGCACAAAAAGATATTGATTCACATGAGAAGAAATACGTATTATCATTAGGTGGACTGACAGGCCACATCATAAAGAAATATCAGTAAGGAATGTAATGAGATGTGAATGAAGCGTTAAAGAGTGATCTTGGTGTGGATAGTCACCTCTCATGAATCACAAAAATGAGGCTTTATTCAATTTTCTCATAGATTTATGGCTCAAAAAGGAAATAGAGTTGGTATTGTTGTAACGTGTGGAAAATGTCAGATAAAAAAATTACATTTTTGAGCCTCAGATATGCTTCTTTTCTGCATTAACAATAGAAAAATATAAATATGTGTAGCTAGAGTTATCATAGAATACTAAGCAGGGTCATTTTTGCCCCTTTTGCTGTTCTTAAGCTGTGCAGTTTTCTTCTGCCTGCGCTGATGAAGATTCAGGCATGCTGAATCTCTGCTGACTCCGACTGGCAGCATTCTGAGCTTTGTGCTGCTTGTTCGGCTGAAAAAAACTGCCAGGAGCATTCTTAGCAGTATGTAGAACATTGGTTTTTAATTCCAAGATGGTCAGGCATTAGTTAAAAAACATGACAGTGATGTAACAAAAACGTAAGTATGTTTGCAGCTATGCTACCATAAAGTCAAAAGCAATGGCAGCAGCTTCAATGTTACTTTATTTTGATCAGAGGTGATAGATTTTTTATTTTGATAGTGCTAAATTGACTCAATAGTAAATTGAATAAACAATCAAGGAGAAAATGTTGTAATATAAAATCTTAAAAACAATCATAATCCCATTAAATTAATTTATTCATGAGACTTTTTCTAATTATTCATTAAAGTGAATTAAAGTGAAAGACAGATAAAAGTTTACATTATGGTGAAATATATGGGTTTAAATTGTTTCATTAGTAGTAATTAAATCAGTTGGCAAAACATAACACTGATAGGTGTTAAATGCAAGAATAATGGAAAATAATGTTGGCTCTTTCAGATTTTGCTCATGTCAGTATACATTTAGAAAATATTTGCAACTATTTGGGAACTGAGAGCAGACCAACTGGCAAAACCTGGAGAGCAAATCATTTCCAATTTTTTTCTGGAGAAGAGATTTTAGCTCTTTTTGTCTTTTCAGGTATTTTGTATTAAAATTTTGGATTTAGAAAGAAGTTTCGGCACCCTTATTTCAATCTTTAAGCCCTTATAGCCCAGAAAAAATGTTCACACGGTGCATCCAGTTTATATAATTTCCTTTTTATTTGCAGGGTAGAAATGTAATGTATATTCTGCACTTTTAAGTGAACACACACATGGATCTATGCAGCAATTCTGACTTAAGAGCAAGACTTCAGCCTTGAATTATTCATACACTTGGCAGATATACATTTGAAATAATATACATTAACCAAAAGGTTTTTACTGGTTGGAAGTATATATGAAAGGTTTCTACAGCTACCCCTGCTGTGCACCGTCCTGTCAAGTCAAAGACCTCATTACATCTTTACTGTAGCTGATTGGCAAAACAGAGCTAAAGAAAGATCGAAAGTTAAACCTGACAGAGTAAAACCAGCTTTTAGAAGGATAACAAGTATATACTGTTTGATAAGTCAATGACAGTAACAAAACCAAACCTTATTAAAAAAGAACTGCTGTGAATATGCATTCAAGTGTTGCTGTTGCAATACCTATTTTGTGCACTTTTAAATTTTTGGCTTTGCTTAAGAAAAGAGCAAATCTCTGGCAAAAAGGCTATCAACAAGCCTTCAGACAGCCAGTGAGTCCACTTGTGTAATGCTGGGAGGGTGGTGGGGAGTGACTGCATAGCACACAAACAACTACCGTGCTCGCTGTAGCATAGCTGTTTCCCCAGGGAACATCAGTGGATGCATTAGGTTGAGCCAAGGAAAGGTCCACTTTCTCTTACCAGCTCAGTGTGGGGGGAAAATACCTTAAGGTGTGTTAACTAGAAAAAGTTTTTTTTTTTTCATTCTCTGGGATGAAAAAGAAAACTTTCTCCCAAGAAAGGAAAAGAACTACATCCTTTGTGATGTAGTTCTTTTCTCTACATCTTTTCTCTACATCTTTCTCTACTCTGACTTGAATTTAGTTTCTGCTAACCGATGCAAAGAGCCAGTGAAAGCAACACATTCTCTTTTGTTGAGCTCGTTGCACAGAGCCATTCAGTAGGAGCAGTTTCTAAATTTAGTGTTTCAATCATAATCACCAGCAAATGAGAACTTCTTTAACCTTTTCATATTTTACAAAGCACAAATATGTCAAATATTTTCTTTCAAATTTTATATTGCAGATGTGAACAGGGGATCAAATGGGAGTGGGAAGAAAAAAAAATATTGTCTTTTAAATTGATACAAGTAGAAATGCCAAATTTCCTTCCACCTTTATTTTGATTCCTCAGAATAAAATGTATTGTCACTAATTGCCCTCAGAGGTCATGTAACTGGTAAATAATTTAATGACTAGTTGGCACAAATAAGTGGAGAATTCAAATTCCCTTGATCAGATGAGTGGGAAATAGAAAACCTATCTGTCTTAGAAACCATCCATAAACAAGTGTTGAAGTTACAGGGTCGTAGTGACATTGGATTAATGTTGATTTATTAAAGCCGTCTAATATTCAGTTTGCATGTAATATAAACTGTGTGAATAACAGCACAAACAGTACATTTTGAAAATGTCAGTGATATAAACACATTTCCCGCAGTACAAAAGCACACCTTTGTGAATAGATTATCTATTGCATACATTAGATAACACTTTTTAACAATAATTTTACAGGCAGGCATTGTAATGTGATGGCAGCATGCTGTCCAGGCAATATCCTGTCTCTCTCTGAATAGCTGCAGGGTTATGCTCTTGTGTCTGAACGGAAAGAATTGATAAAGACTTGCTAGGTGACTGGTTTTTTACAAGGTGTGTCTGCAGTGCCAGCCAGATGTTTAGCAAAATCAGTCTGATTTGTTTTTAACTTTGCATTTGAACTCTTATTTTTGTTCTTTAGAGTTGATTGCATATGAAACAATCTGCATTCATTTTTTATTAAATTATATCAGGATTGCTGTATGGTATAATAGGCTACATATACATTATCAAAACTTTCCTGTCGTGGCAAATATATATATGTGTGTGTGTGTGTGTATTTTTTTCAAATAACTATACTGATCGGTGAAGTGCGGTCAGGGGAGGCATCGTGGAAAAAAAATATCATGATTAAATAATTTACAGTGCTATTTTTCCTTTAACTTAAACAATTCTGATTCTAAAATTTGTGAAGTTTCGCATTTTCTCATTCAAACGCTTGGAAGTGAAGCCCGTGAAGTAGCAGCGAGCTGAGCCTCACCTGGTATTGATCAACCTCTAGCTAACTGCACTGGCTGCCATTTTATGGGAGCATGTTCCTCCTGTTTGTACGTCGCCAATAAAATGGCTAAAAAATATTTAATGTATTAACTGATTTTCCATGTTTTAGCCTATGTACATAATGTACAGTGTTTTCGGCATTGAACAAATTCGAGGTGAGGCAGACAGTTATCTTGTCTCATGGCAGGGGGCGCTCATGATCCCAGACATTGCGACTCCACACCTGCAGAGTAAGAGACAGTAACGGCAAGCAGTGGGCGAAGCATGACATGTAGAAGAATTGTCTTTTTCCTTATGTAAACAACAACATGCAGATAATCTATATTTGTAAATCTGATTATGATTAACCATTGAAATCAGTGGCCATTTTCAAATATCAGTAAAGATATTTGCTATCTTATCAAACCAACAGGAAAAAATGGGAACAGCGCTGCACTAAAATTTGGCTATCCATAAACAACACAACAACTGACTTGATGCCATGAGCCAACTATGACAAAGAAAGGATGACATTTTCATTTCCCTTTGCTGTTGTGTAACAATTTGCACTGTGTCCAAATTTACACAAGGGGGAAGTATTGCATTGCTCACTGTGGGTTTTATAGCTTTCAAATGGTCCTGAATATTAGATTGATCAATCAGTGATTTTATAATTGTTTTCATACAAATAGAATTATGCATTTCATAGAGGATTGGAGGATTGGCCATCATGTTTCTCTCTGAAACCAAAACAAATCTTGCTGCATAACTACCAGTAAGAGCCACTGTTAAGTACTTTATTTTAACAGCTATGGTAAAAATATTTAATAGAAGTAGTTGGTTTTCTTTTTTGTATTTCATCAGAATGCAGAGTTCTAAAAGATAAGTGCAAGCAGAGAACTCATTTGTGCGTGGTAATCCTGAAGTCAAAGGTGAGTTTTGTTAAATTACCAGTAAACATTAGCATATTGTGCTAAGTGACAGGAAAAAGAATAGCTTTTCAGCAAGTCCCCTAAAAAATACATTGAGATTAATTTAGCACTCATGTCACAGACTACCTTGTTCAGACTCCGCACTCTGTTTTTATCAGTAAATTGAACTGGCTCAGCTGTCACCCAAGTGTGCAGCTTCAAAAAGAGAGCCAATTTCGCACAACAAATATCTCCACAAGCACAGTGGTGGGCGCTGATTGTGTGTGTGCCTGTCTGTAGATGCAATAATGATAGCTTAAGTCTACATGCTGTTTCACAAAAAGAAGATGAAGAGGGAGGCGCTGATTAGGTTTAAACCTCCTATTCACTAAAGGGTGGAAATTGTCATTATGAGGTGTTTATCTAAGAAACACATTCAATCAAGCTCATAAAACTGCAATCATTCTTCTCAGAAGTTTTGCAAAAGAAACTCAAGTCCTGGTTCCCAAAAAAAAGACTCTAAAAATCCATAAACATTTAGACACTGATTAAAAAAACGCTGTTCTGTGCAGACCTCAGAATAGTGTAAAATCAGCATCATGGAGACCAAAGAACACACTAAATAAAACTTAAACCTTTAGGTTGCATACAAAATTTTGTGGTCGGGGGGGATGTAATTGAAAATCAGTCTAACAACACTGTCAGTATGGTGAAACATAGTGGTGGCAGTATCATACTTAGTGTATGTGCTTGTCCAGCAGAGACAGGGAAGTTTACCAGAGTCGATAAAACAAAGTAGATAAATGCAAGGTGCTGCTGTTCAAAGAAACATTTTAAACAGACTGAGAATGAGATAGTTTTTGCCAAAAAGAATGAACAAGGACTCAAAGGTGGATTGTGGCTTGACAACTTTCAGAAGCTTTCTGCCAGTCTTTGTGTTAGGTATTTTCCTCGAACCTACAATAAAATAACCACAGACAACGTATATGAATTAAATATGGTCAGGCTTCTGCAGAAGGAGAAATCCCGATCAACAGCTCCTCCGAGCTGGTCAAAAGAGAGTTCTGATCTGCTTTCACGTGAGCTCCCTCTTTATTGTCAAAGCATCAAACAACAGAGGTCGTAAAACATTTAACACAAACAGACCAACAACTCAGTTCCAGGTGTGATATCTAATTTACAATCTGAGCCCAGTTCAGCTCTGGGTCAAACTGTCACCTAAGACCGGGTAGATAAACACCAGAGAAAACTTTAGGGTCTGAGAACCATAAAGTTTTACTATCTTGCATGAAGACAGTTGTAACCTCCAGGTCAGTTTATACTAAATCACAATAATACTTTAGACTGAATATAAACTAAAGTAACAACAAAATGATAATATTAAAAAATATCTAACACTTTGGGCCTCTCTAAGTATCACACCTTCACTACATCATCTCTTTCTGTCACATTTTCCTCTCTGCAGGCTCTCTGACTCCGTGCATATATAAGTTTCCAGATCATGGACTCAGTAGCAGCTCTTGTGCTTTAAGCCACGGTTTTTCCTCGCTGTCGTCAACACTCCTTTCAGCCGATGAGGTCTCTGGTGGCCCCGGCGGAGAAGCGAAAGGTGATGCACAGCGGAAAGGGATGCGGGAGCAGGAAGAAGCTCCCCCTATGGACTCCCCACAGATACGAGAACTGGAAATGTTTGCTAATGACTTCAAAATACGCCGGATCAAACTGGGTGAGTATGACCTACAACAACCTGCTATGTCTTCATCTACATTTTACTTTGTTTTGTTCTGCCGTTTTTTTTTTCTGGATGTTTTTTTTTTTTTTGTTGGCAATCATCTTGCTTCCCCACTGCTGACTGCATTCTGTGAGGCATTGCTGTTTCTATTTTATTTTGACCCCAGGCTACACTCAGACTAATGTAGGCGAGGCTCTTGCCGCAGTGCATGGCTCAGAGTTCAGCCAGACCACGATCTGCCGCTTTGAAAATTTGCAGCTGAGCTTTAAGAACGCCTGCAAACTCAAGGCCATTCTGGCAAAATGGCTTGACGAGGCTGAGCTGGCTGGTGGTGAGTCACACAAATCCACTCCATCATCCCCCATACAGTGTTTATTTACAGTAGGTGTCATCTTTATTGAGAAACATTAAACCTGTACCTTTGATTTGTTGCCATAGTATTTATATAAGTGGTATTACTAGGATGAGTTGCTAAAAAAAGTATGTTCTTGTTCCATTTTTACCAGTGTATTTTTCTGGAGATGAACAAGAAGAGAACATATGAAATAGAAGCTTAGTTTCCATTTGAAAAAAGGGATTATGCAACATCTCAAAAGTATATCTAAAAATATATACAAAGTACCTGGCAAAAGTCTTCACACCCCTCACACTTTTGTTTATATTGTCATGTTTTGGCAAATATGTTTGGTGTGTTTTTGAGACCTTATGTGATAGAGCAACACAAAGTAATTAATATGTATGAAGTGGAAGGCAATAATACACTGTTTTCACTTTTTAATGAATAAAAATAAGCAAAGTATGGATTTAAAAAGTCTTTAATATGAAAAGCAGCAAAGCAATTTAAAACATTGTATTGAAAACTTTCTATGGCAAGAATATTACTAGAATTTTTAAAAAATCATCAGAATGTAAATGCTAAGAGATAAAGTGAGGTAATCTGTTTTGAAACTGCATGTAAATGCCTAAAGATGCTCATAGATAAATCCGATTTGAAAAATGGAAGCATAATTTTCAAATTACGTGACTACAAAAATAACTGAGTTGAAGCGGTAAAAGAAATCTTACTTATAAAAGTTTATCTGTGGCTTAATGTAATTACAGACATAAATGTAAGTTATTTATTTAATTTCTGGTGTTGATTGATTTCACATGAATCACTTATTTATTTTGCTGAATTTAAAAAAGAACTAATATATGCTGCTATTCGAGAGAGCTAAGTCAATTGATGTTTAATCAATTAAGAATAATTCAGTCAAAGTGAGAAATGACATAATTGAGAAATTTACTTGAGCAGGGCTATGCTTGAATTTTGTAGCATTTGAATGTTTTTTTTTTTCCCAATCATTCATAAGCTTCAATGACAAATACTTTTTGACTTCCTTGTAGCGTTATACAGTGATAAAACTGGAATGAATGAGCGGAAGAGGAAAAGGAGAACAACCATCAGGTATACTTTGTGAGGATGAAAAATCTAAAACCATCCAATTCACTCAGTGCTTCAGGATTTTGCTTTCTGCTTTTTGTTTGATTCTGCAGCCTGGGAGCGAAGGAGGCCCTGGAGCGAAGCTTTGTGGAGAAAACTAAGCCATCCTCTCAGGAAATAGCCCGGATAGCCAAAGGCCTCCATCTGGAGAAGGAGGTGGTCAGAGTCTGGTTTTGCAACAGACGCCAAAGAGAGAAACGTGTCAAAACAAGCCTGAGCCTGAGCTCCTGTTTGACCAAAATCAGTCCAAACTGTCTCACACAAATAAGTAAAAGACCACTTACGTAAACTGAAGTGCTAAAGTAGCTTCTGAGCTAATGCGACAGAGGCTCTTTATGACCACAACTTTTCAGATAGCTCCAAAAGTAATTAATTCAGTAACATGCAGGAGTGGAGAAGCATTTACGAAAACCTTTGTAAAAAAACATTCCTTGTGTTTCTTGTATCACGCAATGTGATTTTCTCCGAAGGCATTGTGTCTTTGAAGATCAGCTGAGTGCCTTTTTGAAAGCTTTAATCTACAACACTGTCCTTCAGCTAATTTGTTCCAAGAAAAAGTGAAAAAAAATTGATGAAATTGCCATCTTTCTCTTTTTTAAAGATATTTATGTTCTTCATTTGGATGTTTTGTCTTTGCTCTATCTTAATCAAACTACTTGAAAAAGGATTTAATTTCCTGTAGCTGAAGTTAAAACCAGCGCTGTAATATATATTCAATTTTGACAACCTATTTATTTGAAAACTAATATATTGCTTCAACATGTTTTACTGCAATGTGTTTATTTGATTGACAATTTAGAGTTAAATATCAAACTTTTAGACAGTATAGAGCTTTTTGGTCTGTCGTTTCTGCGATGTTTTGATTTTGGTGTTGCTTTGTGTTGCTTTGACGTGTCATACAATGGGAAACATCAGTCGGTGCTGACCCTGACCCTGTTGGACTGACTGATGTGAAATGTCTAAACAGAAAGCGAGAGGACTCTGACAGTTTGGACCTTGTGTTACTGTAACAACAACTTACATCAAGTGCCAGTAACTGAAATTTATTTATGAGATCAATATATATATGTTACATAAAATGTCTGCAAGACTGATGGACAGTTTCTTTATTCTTGCCAAAAATGTCCAGTACTCATTTGGTAAAATGAACCGGCAGTACGGGAATGTACTCTGGGTTCAAATGGTGAATTGAGTTTTATGATGAAATATTTCACCTGTGCCAAGACTTGTTTTTACAGCTCTATTATCAAATCAATGCACACATTAAGGAGACAGAGTGGGGATTTATAAATAAAACCAGCCAACGCTTTAATTCAGGAACAAACTGTTTCCGTTGTGACTTATGTTGGGTTATATAACTTGAGTGCTGCCAGGGGAATTAAATGCGGCGGGGTTATGGACTTCTAGTGCAATTCTTAGGGTGTGAAAAGTTAAAGACAAGTAATGCCTTAAAGAGACTTGGTGAAAAGCTTCTTTGGCAAGAGTGAAAGTGCCTTTGTGTCATTGATGCTGGCTCTGAGGGTAGTGCTGCAAATTTATTAGTTGGTCTTTGGATCTCTTTAAACTTTCTATACATGTGAGATTGTGTGAATAGTTAAAATGCAAGAAATTTCAAAGACAAACTCAACAAATTGATGGTATTACCTACTTTCTGTCATACCATGTAAATATCTAATGCTATTGTAAAGGAAACACATCATAGTTCTCATATATATTGTTTAAGCAACAAAATATTGAATGCATGTGATTTTTTGTCAGTGCAAATCATTCTGGTGTCTATTTGTTGTTGTTGTTTTTTTTTTTTGATGGAGTTGTCTGTAAACAAGCTCTGAAAATCAAGATATTCTGTGGCTGTGCAGTCATGATCAAAACCTTTAAGACAAACGTAGTTGTTCCAGATTTATGGCTTAAGCGTTTTTCTTTCAATGTTCAATAATAAACATTTTGTCAGTTCAAAAGGTTTTTATTAAGAAATGCATAAAATTTATACAAAGCATTGCAAGGTTCTCAGTAGGATTAAGATCTGAATAATGCCCTGGAAATGAGTGGCAATTTCTACATTTGACAGGGTCAGCGCTGGCTTGAGCCACTCAGTTATCCCTTTTTCTCTGGAACATGCTCCACCACCATCCTGGGGAACACATTGTTCATCAACACTTTCCTCTTGGACGATATTTTGTTATAAGTCTTTGTTCATAGCAGTGTTTTTGGGTAAAATTGTGAGCCCACTCCCTTAGAAGAGAGACAATCCCCAGACTAGAATGTCCTCAGGTACTTCACACAGCATGACACAAGATTCATGGTGAGGTTCCTAGTTTTCATCTCTGCAGTCAGTTTCACAGATATTACAAATAGCCTAAAGGATTTTTTCTGCAGAAAACAAAACATTTAACCAGCCCTGGAGTCCAGTCCTGGCGTACATTTTGTGGAATATTATTTTCTTCTTGATGTTCCCTTTGGGTTGAAGTTGCACCATTGAGGTCCTGACACCAGCCCAGCACCCAAACCTTTGACCTTGAACAATCACCACACTGCAGAAGAAATGATCACTTACTTTAACAACAGTTACTCAATTTTCTTGGTTTGTGATCTGCATTGCAAATAAGAATTTTGTCATTACTGGAATTGATTCACTTACTAAATAATTGCATTTCACCCTGCGATTTAATCTTTAAACTGTATGATGGAAATGTTGGTAAAGCATACTTATAAAAAAAAAACCATTTTATTTGTATATATTAATGTGCAAACTTTATTTTGTAGGAATTTAGGTTTACAGCAGAGATACATTTAAAGTTAGTATTTTTCTCAAAATATTTCTAATGAGGGTATTGACATGAAACTCACACTAGATGTCAGTAACAACCACACTAGTTTTTCTCAGTCACCGAGTTGATGCATTTCTCAAAACTACTTGGTCAATTTTCAAATCAATTTGTCACTTCTACAAATAAAAAGATAATTTTGTGTTCCTTTCAACAAATTGCAAAGCTTTTGGACATCATATGGGTTACTACGTTCGGTTCTCTGCTTCTACCTACATTTTCAATTGCTTTTGTCATGTTATCAAAATGTATTATACGGGTCTCTGTTAAATTGTCTCGACCTGCACAATATTTAAGCGTTACTTCATTCCATGCAAAATGCTTGAGCAAGTTACCATAAGCATCTATCTAGATATCTCCATTAGATTTTTATTGTTTTTCTAAATCTGGAAATATTTCCAGAAAAGCCAAAGCATCACCAGTAATGATCATCACCACAACTCACTGACCTTAGAGTAAAAATTGGAAACAATGGAAGACCAAGGATAGTGCCAAAATGTGTATTCGGACAACACTGCTAAAGAAAACACAATGCATGAAGATAATTTAAAATGAGCTGCAGAATATTTGGACAGTCCAATGAAACACTGGTAGAATAAAGTCTGATGAGATGCAATTAGTTGAACTCTTTAGATGAAGAAATAGAACAAATTACCACAAAAAACATCTTCTGAGGTAATGTGAGGGTGGTAACATCATCGTTTCTGGTTGTTTTTCAGCATATGGAACTGGCATCATGTAATCAAAGGAATGGTGGATATATAAATGTACGGAATATAAATGTATTCTGGGTAAGAAGTTGAAACTGAAATAAATGTTCTAAGTAAAACAACGATCCCAAACAAATTCACTTTGTTTCTTGTAAGAACAATTCAGCAAAAATACAAGTCTGGAGCCTTTACAATCTAACAAGCCATCTTTGAACTCAGTCCAGCTACAGAACACTTTAGTCATAAATGTTGCATGATCTTTTAATAAAAGATTTATTATTTTTAAATATACAAGAGGGAAATTGTAATTTTTAAGATAAATTCAATTCAATAATTGTGTGTGTTTTAAGATAAAGACAAAACAAAAAGGGGATGGACAATTTGTTCCCTGGGATGTTATTTCAGAAAAAATAAATGATTAAAGTTAATTAAAAACAAGTAGTTAGTAGAAAAATATACGTAAAATAATACTTTTAATGTCATTCTACCTTGGGAATCCAATGAAATGATAATACAATTAAATAACTAAAAACTACTAAGATCTGAAATTTGTTCATGTCTATATCTAAAAACAAAGTTCTTTCTACACATTTTTTGCCAAAGTTAAACGAGAGTTTATATGCAGAGTCCAAACAGCCACAATATGCTGAGACTTGATCTGGGAATCTCTTAAGAGATTCATATTATAACTTATAATATTAATATTATAATTTAATATTCATAAATTTAAAATTTCTGAATATTATAGAGGCCAAAAAATAAGTTCCCCCAACACATAAAGCATATATAAAGAACAATGAGTCAAAACGAAACCTGTGCATTGAAGACAATTAACTTCTCATCCAGGAAATCACTTCAGCTGTCCTTACCAGAGGCATTTCCATAGAAATGTACTATGGATATTAAATATATTTCACTTAGTGTGTTCAATCGTCACTTACAGTATGAACCTTCATATGGAAAAACAGTACGAGATCAAATCAGAATCATACCTGAGGAAACTTTATTCCTTACAAAAGCCATAAACCTTTTACAGAATCAATTAACAATGACAAAGAAGTAAACAAACATGAGTACGCATGTCTTGGAAAAACTCCCACCCAGGCAAAGGCATTCATCAAAATCTATGAAGACCCTAATTCTGTTTACAATTATGTTAGACTGGTGCATGATGGAGGAAAAAATAATGAGCAAAACCTCGATGGACTATGTTGGGCTATGTGTGTCACAGGCGTACAAGAATGACACATTTTCGGTTCATCTTGGCAGCAGGAACTGATGTGGAATTGAACGGCCAGAAAGAGAAAGATAAAATGTTTCATTGAACAGATATCACCGTCTCTCTCACAAAGCCTGAAACTGCTGACATTAACAATTCACTTTGTTGTAAAGTCAGACATAACACATATTAAATCACAGTGTCGTTTCAACATACACTTCCATTATTCTGTAGCTGTAGTGTGCATGTGTGTGTAGTTTCTTTTGTAAGAGCCAGCTGAATATTTCTAAAAAAAAGTAACTGCACAGCAGCTGAGAGAGAAAAGAGACTGCAGAACCAGCGCTTTTCTGCAATCGCTGATTAAATCAAACTTAGAAGTCAAATAAAACCTCATTTAATTACTTTAAAATCCTGCCAGTCTTCCATTAGGCCTGAATTAAACTTTAGCAACAAAGTTAGTGATGGTTATTCTAACACCTGACTGTAATTGTCCTGTAAGCGATAACAAAAGAAAGTGAAATTGTCCACTGTGAGTTCTAATGGAGGTGGTTCCACTCAGAGAAAACAAGTCAGATGGGTTTAAATTAACCAAAAGCAACACAAACATCAGGTAAATGATCTGAGAAAAAGTAAGCAAGAGCCATCTGTTTATTGTCAACCCCAAAGCTGTTTTTAATCACCATGTCTTGCATTAAAACTTCCTGGAGAAAGAGTAGCCATCACTGATTACAGGAAAAACTAAAGGCTAGCCAAACAAGTCAAATGGAAAAGACATTTACAAACTGCATTTGTAGCCCTTCCAAAGACAGATCATTACA